GGCATGTTGATGTTGAAAGCAAGATGTCTGACTGGCTTGTGATGTGGGTGTATTAAGGATGAGCTCCCTTGGACTGATTTCCAACAATTCTGAACTGAAGTCAGGAAAATTTTCAGTGATCTATTATTCTATCACAGAATGGTAAGATTATGTAGCAAGTCTCTGCATGTGAAACATTTCACTGTCACACAGGTAGCTGTCAGTATGTGTGTTTGTATGAGTGTTTATATCTGTTGGGTATGTGTTGTTTGAAAATAATTTCTCCCTCTAAAATTTTTCATAGGCATTATCTTTATAAAAAAATCTAATTTCCTGTCTGTCTTGGTTTTTCTCAGTCTTATCTAGTTTAATGATATAGAAATCTCAATATATGAAGAAATCATTCTGCTTGTGTAAAATTGAGTATCAAAATGTCCACGAGTGGACCTGTAATTTTTAAATATATCCCTGATATCATGTTACATTTGTATTAGACCCCCAAAACATATCTTCAGTAGTCACATGAGGAAGCCATGGGTAAAACCCATCACTATTAAGAGTATAATAGCTTCAGTACATTGAGACCTACAGTAAAAGGATAAATACCATCAGAATTCCAAGGTTGTTTTGATTCTGGCCAAACTTAATTTTGGCTTCTGCTCACACTACTTTCATCTCATGCTGCTTCTGTGTCATTAAACACACTTTCATTGTATGATGAGATTGCTTCTTCAGATTCCTGTTTCGCATACATGGTGTGTCCAGGATTCGTTATGACTCAATTTTTTAAATTTTGCCCTGCAATGCCATCTGTTGGTGAGGTGTGGCATTAAGATTCTTGAAGTCTCAGCTGTGGCTGTCTATAATTTCAAAGCGCACGCGTCACTGCATCATGTGTTCTGACCTTGAATGTAATAGTACTGTTCTAACGCTCATCAGAAAATGGCGGTTGAACAGAAAGCCAACGTCAAATTTTGTTTGAAGTTAGGCAAAACAGCCGGAGAAGCATACGAAATGATGAAAATTGTGCATGGTAGTGATTGTTTGAGTTGCTCAAACATTTTTCAATGGTATGCTGTATTTTGTGACGGCAGGGAGTACATTGAAGACACTCCACATGCATCAAAGCTGAGAACAAGTCACACTGAAGAAAATGTGAAAAAAGTGACCGAAATCCTTGCATCAGACAGATGTGTTTCTGCAAGACCCATCGAGGAGCTTTTGGGAATACCAGAAAATACTGTGCATCAAATTATGACCAAGGATTTGGGCAAACAGAAGGTCTGTGTGTGGTTTGTACCGCACACGCTATCAGGCGATGAAAAGCATGCCAGAATGGAACACTGCGAAGACATGTTATGGTCAGCCCAAAGTGATTCAAAATTTACAAAATTGATTGTTACTGGTGACGAGATATGGTGTTTTTAATATGAGCCTTTCACAAAGCAGCAGAGTGCAGCATGGTTGAGCCCAAAGAAGGCAAAACCAAAGAAAGTGCACATACAAAAGAGTCGAGTAAAGACACTGCTAACAGTTTTCTTCGATTCCAAAGGAATTTCTGCCAGAGGGTCAAACAGTGAATTCTGATTATTATCTCGGAGTCCTCAATTGTTTGTGGGCGACAGTTCCTCGAATTTGACATGAATATCGAAAGCAAGGTTCCTGGCCAATCCTCCACAACGATACCCCACCCCACAAATCGAAAATCGTGTGTGCTCTTTTGGTCAGAAAAGGAATCACAGTCCTTGATCATCCTCTGTATTCACCAGATTTGCCTCCAGCAGGTTTCTGGTTGTTCCCAAAAGTTAAGTTGGCAATGAAAGGAGACCATCACAACACCATCCAGGACATCCAAAGTGAATGTACTGCAGTTTTAAATGCGATTCCACAAAAAAGTACAGTGACTGTTTTTGAAAACTTTTCAATCGATTCCAGCTATGTATTGATTCAGAAGGAGACTATTTTGAATAAAAAGAGTGAAATTTAAAATAATTCACATCTTGTATTTTTAATGAACACAGTCCTACCAGATCCTGGACACACTGTGTATCTTTTATTGTCCAGAATTTGCACCATGACAGGGAGATTCTTGTGACAGCAGTGCTAATTTCACTGTTGTCTGCCAGCATAAGATCAATTCAGTATACCTAACATGATTAGGCAATTCAGTGTCTGTCTGCACCCCCAACTCCTGAACTCAACAGCAAATGTCTGAGAAAACATTTCTTTAGGCCACTTTCACACTAACATAATACTTCTAGGAGAACAGTTACTGTTCAGTTCCTCTAATGGTACTGTATATCCCCTTACCCAATAACCCCCCACAGAAGTGAGAAACTTCTGTTATTCCACTTTTCTACTAGCATAATGCTAGTTACAGTGTGTTCAGAATTTTGTATGGTGGTCTCATCCCAATCCTCTTCCACAAGCACCAAGTTTTTTTCATCTTCATTTAGACACTGCTCTCTAAGAGCTGACAAGACCTTGAACAAGTACAAATGGTATATTGACAGTAAGATCACTTGAATAAGATGTAACAACCACATCCTTTCAGGCTAAGAATAGCCCTCCTAATAATACTGTTTATGAATAACTCATATGAGGAAAGTGTAACACGATGAAAATTAGAGTTACAGCAGCTGTATGCTGACTAAATAAAGAGGCATTCTAATGACACTAATGCAGTAGAGGGCCAACTGAACTGCAGGCCAAGTATTGCAATGAAGACACATTAAAAGGTAATTCCCACTGTGCTCCAGCATTTGCCTGTAGAAAGTAAGGGGAAAAGAAATCTCTCTTGTTAGAATAGCCACCTTTGGTGGGAATTGAATTTGGATATGAAGTAGTATGTTGCTTTTCTTGTCACCATATAGTCTATACTACTGGGTCAATTAAGGAAGAAATTACTTCTTATTTTTCCTTCTTTTCATTTAAGTACAATGGACTTGAGAGGTAACTGTATGCAAATAATTTGTAAATGAACAGTACTGTGGCATGTCTGCTGAAAGCCAGAACTGTAAAGCCAGCAGAGAAAGCTGTTGCTAGGGAACAGCTCTGCAAGCACATTTCTACAGCACCAAAATCGCTTGATTGCCACAGCATACATGCACACAATAGTAGAAAGCTGTTGGAAGCGGTGTTTCTGTACAGTCCACCATAGTGGCTGTGACACTGGATCAAAAGGTTTGGAGGCAGACAGTGGCACTATACAGACAAGGCAGAAATGAGTGCTAGCCAGCATGGGAGCAACACCTAGTGAAGACACAGCAGACTGAGAAGACTTAGTGCATGCTATAATGATTTGCTAAGTACGCAGTTCCATGGAACTGTTAGAGTTCATTGTAGTTAAAGTTTCAAGAGTCCAATAAATCCAATTACCAATCTAAACCTCATGTCTAGTCACAAAACACGTGACAGTACTAATTTGAGCCTTAAATGTGGGAAGAGCTGTGAAGATCTTCCGCTACTTGGAAATCACCCATATAAGAGCTACAGGAATACTGTCTTTAGGACTTCAAAATGGGTTCATTAAGACCAGGGCGACCAAATTTGAGACAAATTTCTAAAGCAGTCCTTAATATGTAATTATTGAACTTATGATTACATTACTTCATATTTGAGGGACTAACTCAATATAGCATATGAACTTCATAATAATGACATTTAGGTAGAAGTGGAAATTCTGTACATGAAGAATGAGTTGTGACAGAATAACTTTAATTATAGACCACAGGGAAGAGAAATACGGGTACTTCCAATTCTGTGCAGATTCAGAACATGCTATTTCATTTAAATGCTCTCAATTAATTTAGACCAACTGAAGGTAATAGCACTTGTTTTAATGCAGAACTGCTTGCTGGCCATTGAGAGAGGTGGGGAAAATGGCAAGTAGCAGATTGTGTGGATGGCAGAGGAGGAATGTGAGGAGAGAAGGGAAAATTTGGCCTAGCCACAGGATCTCCTTTGTGCATCTATTACTCTCACCCTTTGAAGGAATATGGAAATCTTCAATACACTTGATCCTTGACCTAAGAACAAGTTCTGTTCCAAAGCCCTTTCTGAAAGGCAAGTCATTCTTAAGTCAAAATATAGTTTTCCGTATAAGAAATAATGTGATTATCAGTAATCAGCTAGCTAAGTTTACGAACAAAGCGAATTTGCTATCAGAAAGTTTCCTGACTGTTACCGTAGTAACTGCCTTGGTGAAAGAAGATGAAAAGGAAGGCCAAGGTCACACTTCCGCAAGCCTATTGCATCAGTCTGCCACATGACAGCACCGTGAACACACAATGCTTTTACACAAGTACTTTTTGGACTTCATGTTTCGTTTTGTCTGCAATAGATGGCAAAATCGAGCAACATGTCTGCATCAACTTTTGCATGAAGCTTGGTAAATCTACTACCGAAACCCTTGAAATGCTTTGTGAGGCTTTTGGAGAATGTTCTTTTAGCTGGACAGCAGTTTTTGAATGACATTCACGTTTCAAGGTTGGTCAAATGTCAGCTGAAGATTGCAAACGTTCAGGGTGGTGTACTGTAAAGAAGCAACAAATAATCACTCCAATATTTATTCAACATACATAAATCAAATTTGCATATAAGCAAAATATTAAATCCCTTCTTTCAGTTGACATCTGAAGAAAGACTCTGAGTACAGAATAATTAGCAAAGGACTCTGGTCTCCTAGTTCCCCAAATCTTATTGTGATTTTTATCGCTGGGTGAGCCTGATGGGAAAAGTGCAAATAACCTTCACACCACCAAAAGTTAACTTGAAAGAGATAATACATGTAATTGTTCAGTTTCTGAGGATGAACTTCAGAATGTATTGCAGGACTTATTTATGCAGTGTGAAGCAAGTTTGGAAGCAGGTCACTTCCTGTAGTTCTTGTAATATACAAGGTCTGACAATAAAATTTGTGAACTCACCGTGGACAGAAACCTCAATATGGTTTGACGACATTGGCATATCAGCATTTCACAGCTGTGTTGTTGATCTATGGCAGTCTCTTTCTGAGTTACATCTATTATTGTATGTGTTTTGGTGTGCTGTCACAAGAATGTTGGGAAGAACATTAAATTTCTTGTTAAACTTGGAGAGTGGAAGCAAAATCATAGAGATATTAATGCAAGTTTACAGGATAATGCTATGAAAAAAACAGCACACATGGGTGGACTTACAGCATATACTTCTTAATACTACCATGTGTAGGTGTGACTATAGACGTAGTTTTGCATTGGATGATTGGATTTATTGCACCTTGTACATTCATCCAACTCTGGACTACAGGAAATTACAGCACTATTGCTATTTTCACACATTTTTAACAGTTAACCACTGAACATGCACTAGGGTTAGTCTTCACTAACCATAACCTGGCAATGGATTTATAACAGTCTCACTATGTCTTCAAATATCATATGAAGTCTTCTTTGTCCTGCCTAATTCCCTTTCTTGACCTTATATGGTGACTGCCAATTCCAAAGACTCAACTCCAATTCCTCTGCCCCCACGCTCATATCCTGGCAGGCTGGCATCTCAGAACGCTACTAGACTCGCCTACTGTTCTGCACATCTGTGGTAATTTGTTCAGTGGGTTGTCATCTAGCAATGAGTATACACGTCACAATATAACTACTAAATGCTACAAAGTAATGGTCATTAGTCCTTCATATGCACTTGTGCAGAGAGCCATGGATTCATCAGCTATCCTGGCTGAAATTTCATGATTCTTCTCAGTCCCCCCAAGCAAATGCTCAGATAGTATATTCAAATAAGACATGGCCGCATGCTTCTATGTCCTACCCTACTTCATTACCCCAAATGATTCTGCTGGTCGAGTGTACAACCTGTGCAGGTGATTAACTGCTGTCAAATATTCATAATGGAATGTGCCCATGGCTCCATAGTTCTGGAAGCCAATTTTCATCATTTAATAATACTTAATACTATGTCTACATGTTACCATTATTCCAGTCAATGATATGGCCAATTTCATGCCTTTTGAGCTGCATAATATTCAGGAATGTCTTTTTACACATTGAACATTTAATGTCAGAAGAATTTTCAGAATGCGTTCTCTCATGCTGTTTGAGAATATTTCCTCTTGTAAAATGTTTTTTGCACACTTTGCATACATACTGCCGTCCACTGTGCTTCTGGAGGTGTTGCCATAAACCAGAACGGCCAGCATATGACTGGAAGCATAACTGACATGTATACTGCTTTTTAGGATGCTGATTCATTTCAGAAGCCACTAACATGTTGCACAGTTTGTTGGCATAAATATTCTTGCTACTGAAACTATTCTTCAGTGTTCTCTTGTATTCTTTCATCTTGACTTTTACTTGTGGTTCCTTGTATGATGTTACTATATCTTTAAAAACAGATATTGCTGTACCCCAATTCCCATTTCTTTCTTCTTCAATAGGTGCATTTTTTGTACTAGGGATTTGCATGCTGTCACCAGTTACACTTACTCCAACCCTTCGTTCTCCTTCATTACATGTCCCATACTGATTTAAACCAACTGAAACTACAGCAGCCGATTCGCTGCAATCCCAGGCAGTATCATAAGCATAAGGCTGATTATCTACATTTTCCAACTTCACATTTGCTTGCTGGTTTGTGCTGTCAGTGACAAATGCTTGCTTGGAAGTAGAAAAACTGAAGGCAGTAACACAGTCATCATCCTTTTCATCAAAGTCATTGCAGTTGATCATGCTGTCACACCTGGAAGCCTCATCTTGAAATTCTGTTTTTATCTGCAAAGAATTACATTTAAGAGGTGGGCAGAAAATGTATCACATATGGGGAAAAGATATTCAAATAAAATTTTGCTCAGAAAATCTCAAAGAAATAAATTTGGTATAATTAATTCGCATTAAAAAATGCTGGGCAAATTATATGATGACCCTCTTGCTTTAACTGTGTTCCTCACAGGCAAAATAAATTCCTTTGATGCCAGTTTCATATCCTAGATTATTGTTTAATTCTTAAAATTGATGTAGTTAATTTTTCTAAACTGATGCTTTTCCACCTTCAATGGTTTTATCCAGATATTTATTTAGACACAGTAAAGAATAACAGTAAATGGAGAATTTCATGGAGGTAGGCCTAGGCCAAATGAGGGCTGTAGCACCAATGAAAAAAAAAAGAATAACATGTGAAATAGTTAAGGCAGTCACATTCACAAAGTGTAAGAATTTACTGGTGAGTCTTATAAATACAGACATATTAAGTTAACAGTGCACAAGAAAAAAGTAACTGTCCATATATAGCTGAACTTATGCCTGTGTATGTCACTTATGACTGTGCTTTTGAATCATATGTTCAGTAATTCTTATTTAGTAACATAAATTAACCCTCAATAACTTAAGACTGTTACTGGAAAATGTTAGCTGATTATATATATTTTAATATCTTTGTTGATTCCTGTAAGTACCTAACATAAGAATTCTGAGGCTTTATTCAGTGTTTGCTGCCTCTGAGTCCTGCTTACCTCAGTTTTTAACTCTATGTTATTTAGGTACTTTCGGAGAGTAGCATCAGAATTTTCACACTGTGTTTTAAATTTGTATGAACAGTTCAGCTGATATATGCACTGTGCACATATAAGCACTGGCAAACCATCATCAGTTAACACCTGAAACAAAAATAGAGCTTATACAGCATCTATTTTTAATTTTGGATTAAATTATGCTGTCTAGTTTAAAATATTAATATAAAAATACTATTTTTCTCAGCCTTTTGCCTTATTTAGGAAAGAGATGTTGGAATGTTTATACCAGACAAAAGAGTTGGCTCTTTCTTCCCAAAGATCTGACAACCATCTGAAAGGAATACCAAAGGTACAGAACACACACACACACACACATCAATGTTTCCTATAGTGAAGAATGGTTTAAACCTAACAGATATAATTCAATCTATGTAACATGTTTCTGCATCCCAATTTTATTTATGATTACTAGACTTACGAAAGCTATATATCCCCAACTAATGCCATTAGGCTAATTGTTGAATAGTTTCTAAACACAGATAACATTTTAAGTCTCTCAAATGAAGTAGAACACATAAGAATTAAAGGGCAACTGTAACCTACATCATACTAATGAATGATCTATCTATTGTAATGGTAAAATGTTCATTATAACTTTGTATTTCTCCAGAAGTTTCTTCCTACTTGCACTTCATATGTGCAACTACAAAGAACACCTCACTATAACAAAATTCATACTCAAAAGAAACCCGAATAAAATGTGATGTAATTAGCACCGGTTTCTGCGTACGAATCTTAACCTAACCTTCAGTGACAGGCAATACAGTATTCTCTCAGGTATTATTCCACCTGTGTCATCTGTGAATATAGGCGACATTGCACCATCACGGCTCATGCAAAGGCGACACATTTTATTAAAATTTAATTTTCCATTACTGCATCGGATCATTTTGTTCATAACCACGCTTAAAACAATACACCTTCCATATTCGCAAGCGTCCAGAGCGTTCAGACGGTTCAGACAGACGATTCCGCTGTATGTTCTTTCATCGCTGTGTGAACCCCTAATTCTACATCTGTGGACATGTAGGACTTGAGGGCCTTAAGTCGATGGATATGAAGGGATCTGTCTACTGGGACATAACCCCATGTCGCCTCAATTTTCAGGTTTAAAGACTAAGCGAAGCAAGAAATTAGCATGAAACAGGCAGCAAGGAAACTCTGCTTGAGGCATATTCCTCCGAAACGTCGGTTGACATGGCGTCATATCCCTGGAGATAGAACTGCTTATCCGAGGACCTGCCCACATTTCATTCTACCTTGCTGCCTTCTAATTGTTCTAATTGAACCCTAATACTGACATGATTGAACCTACAGAACATTTTTCTGGTCCCCGAACCTAGAACTACAAGTGCGACGTTCACGGCAGAACGGCTGTCTGTGCTGTCAGATATTCTCTTTGGTTCATCTGTTCCGGTGTGTGGAAACCGTGGAAACGGAGGTAGGAACAGGTAGGAACGGGTAGAAAAGCTTGGTGCTGGAAGGAGCACGTGAGTTTAGGAAGCCGAAGCTGAACCGTGCGTGTAATTAACAGTCCAATGGTGGATATTTTCTTTTTGGTACGAAATATAAACTGATTACAGTAACTAAAATGACAGTCGTTTTTGTGACATGTTGGCATAGCGATCCGTTACGTTTGACATGATTTTTTAACGTCAGGCCGAAAAATGGCGAAGGTAGTTCAAGTTCTTAAAGTGGTGCGAAACAATTGGAAGAAGTCTCTTTTTATTTTTGCAGTTACATCTTACAGTGTGCAGTATGGGGTGGACAAATATAAGTAAGTATTTGGCTCTTATGAAATGCTCTCGTCATATAACCTCAATATGTTGACGTAAAAATTTGTTCCCCGTCTTTAATTTATTTTAAGTGAGTTTTCTTCTCCTTCCTCCCTCGTTGTTTGAGTCATGCGGAAGAGTTGGACGGATTTTCCGCGAAGTCAGGTCAACCCACAATCCATGAACTCCTTCCACGATAGCACTGGCTAGAATATTACAATGTTTATTTACTTATTTATTTCGTCTCTATAGATCATTGTTACATGATATAGGACAAGTCAGTTACTGTACATTGGCTGATTACAATAAGAGAATAAAGTTACAATACTTAAAATTGTTTACAATAGATTACAGTAGATTACAATAGTTAAGATTTCATATAGTGTAAGGTGGAATCCATATTAGGTCCCCTCGGCGCGTCGGCTTCCATATGTCCTATTGTACCTCTACTGGTGATAATGCTTATGGAGAATTTGATGGAATGAGCATTGGCAGGGGAAACCGAAGTACTCGGGTAAAACCTGTCCCAGCGCCACTTTGTCCATCACAAATCCCACTTGACTAGACCGCAGCGGTGGGAAGCCAGCAACTAACCGCTTAAGCTATGGCGCGTCCTTTGAGATAATATTGGTGAATTTGGTGATAGCACTGGTATAACGTTTCACTATAGACTCTACACTGCAACATCTCATTACATCTATTCTCCCTTCCTGGTGTAGCTTCTTGGTATCTGCAATCTCTCCAGAGCAGCCCATTCACGTACATCTCCGACTGTGTTATCTTCGTTGCTGGAAGTAAGAAAGGAAAACTGCGCGCTAGGGATTCCCAAAACCGATTATTCATGAATTATGTGATTATAATTGATTAGTGTTTGTCTCACACGAGAGAAACTCATCCACTTTATAAAAACAGTGATCGAGTAGGTAAGTTTTCAAAGCGTTTTTGAACTTATATAGTACCAGTATTTCTTAAATATATCATGGCAGATGATTTAGCAGTCGAAGTCCTACATTGTTAGAGATGTTCTTGCATAGACTTGTATTACATGGGACGATGTGCAGGTCGTCTACTCTGTATATGTATTTGCTTCCAGTGAGTTATATTTTCTGATACTTGCAGTCCCCCCCACCAAACTTATCATTGCCCAACTGTTAATATATGTAGAATCATTCTTGTTATCTGTCTTGGCATCACGACAGCAATTTCAGTGACATGCAGAAGTTGTGGATTTGTTGGAGATTGTATGTACGTGGGGAATCAGTACCTAGATATTCCTTCTTTTATGTTGGTGTGATTGGAGTGTTTATAATTGTTATTTTATATTGTGTTCTTGCTACATTAGTGTAAATTATACAGCATAAGGAAACTAAAAGGTCTTATATTCAGTTCTTTCCAGCTTATGCGAGGATACTGTGAAGAAGCACTGCGGTATGGAGAAATGCCAGTACTGAATGGCAGTAGACCTAGACAGATAACTGTCATTCTTAATCCTGTAGCTGATAAGAGGTATGTAATAAGCGAAGGGATGTATGTGTATGGAGTGCATATAAGAATTTGCTGCTCTGCTGAGATGTTTGGTTATTATGACAGTAGTATGCTGGACATTGTATATTGTCTGAAGTGTATTTGATATACACCACATTTCATGAGTTTACCATTCTACTGTCTTCAAGTGTCATACTGACATATTTTGTATGCTTTATTTATTCTTGTATAAGATGGTTGCATTATATTGTCTTGGGCAGAGGACTGAATGTTGTAGTTCTGCTTATGTTACTCTTTCATTTGATTGAAATCTCTGATAGCAGTCTTAAAAGAAAACAAATGATCTGTCAGGGTAATTGGGGCATGTGCTAGCATAGTTGGTTGAGGCACTATGCTACAAGCTGGAAGGTCAAGGGTTCGTGTCCCAATGAGGTGGATTTTTTCAATTGACCTAATCCTTCCAGCCGCACTATGGCCATGGTGTCAACTCAGCCTCTAACAGAAATGAGTACCAGGAATCTTTCTGGGGGGTAAAGGGCAGCCAGCACATAAGGCTGACAACCTTACCACCATCTGTGAGCCAACTGTCTAGAGAAAATGTAGGAGCCTCGACGTCTCACAACTCTATGGGCCTCTGCGGCCTGTTACAGGGATAGCTTTACCTTTACCTCTGTCAGTGTAATTAGAACCAATCACTTGAAGATGGAGTAGAGCCAGTTCCCCAAACATTATAATATGTGAGACATGTCTCAGTCAGTGAACAGTGTTTAAGATAATACAGGTCCTGAGTTTGATACCATCTCTTTCCATGGATCTTAAAATAAAATTAATAAAAAGTGTGTTGGTTTCAGCAGTCATGTTCTTGTGGGAGTGGTGTCCCTGTTGGGTAGTTGGTATCTCAGTGCCTGTTCACTGATGTTGTCTTTTGGCTGGCATTTCTTTTTGATTCTGTGTTCAAGTTATTTTTAGTTTAAGCTGAATTTCTTAATTCTTTTAGTATGTATTAATTTCTCATATGATTCATTAAACTGTATCCAGCAAACAGTATAAGCATTTTATTTTGGATGCTTGTATTTGTGATCCGGTCTAGAAAACTGAGATTAACGGCCATGGGGATCTGTTGTGCTGACCACGTGACACCCTCTGTCTGAAAAATGTTGCCACTAACTTCACAGACAAGCAGCAGTCGCTTGGTCGGTATATTTTGCTTGTGGACTAAGACTGCAGGGGTTTTTTTTGTGTGATTTCATTTGTCAGTATGCTGACTTCACACCCATAAAGAGTGTGAGTACTGTAATTTCTCATTATTCCTTTTAGTCTTCAAATTGTGCCAGGCATCTGATGGAGATGTTATTTGTTTATCAGCTTATGATAGAAGTTGCTATGCCTACATTCATCATAACCTATGTAAAGATATCTAAAACTTTAGTGGATACAGTTGATTCAGTGCCATTAAGTAGTCAACATTTGGTTTCTTTTTCTCTCTCCATCCAGAAAATCAAGAAAGAATTTTGATAAGTATTGTGCTCCTCTACTGCATTTGGCTGGAATCAGTGTTAATATTATACAGACTGAATTTGAAGGTCAAGCACGGGAACTGGTTGAATCGTTGGATGAGATTGTGGATACCATAGTTGTTGCTGGTGGAGATGGAACTGTATCTGAGGTGACAACCTTCTTTGCATAAATGGTAACCTCTGCTGCTTGGTTCTGTGCAGTAGGGTTCCCTGTGCCACTTTCAACATAAAGAAATGGTTCATAGAACTTGGTAGATTACGCACATAAACTGCATACCTTCTTTGCTTTCTCTCTTATAGATGGGACTCATGACTCCCCACCCCCACCAAATAAATACAGAGAATGATATTACCTTTTTTACCAGGTTAGAAAAGATAATTTTCTGTATGTGCAGGTATGAAATATTGCACTGATGTTCCGATTCCAGCAGTCAGATGACTGCTGGTTAATATATAACTGATTCATTAATTTATTTTTATAGTCGGCGATACTATGAAGTTTGTTTTTATAATTTTGCATGCTCACTGTGGATGTCAGAATTATATTATGTCACTTGAAACTAGCATTTTGTGTTTTAAATTGCTGCCTGTTCCTGAATTTGTGAGCCTTGTGTGCTGTATATTGCCACCTGTTCCTGAATTTGTGAGCCTTGTGTGCTTGCCCAGCAGTTATATTTTCTGAGCCAGCTGACATTTCACTTTCCCCTTCTCTGCCTACCTAGAAGTTTATCCTCCTTACCCTTTCCATTTGCCTGTTGGTTTTTACCTGTATGGCCATATTGGAGCCCACAGGGGAGCTGTGCTTCCATTTTTTCTCGGCCTCATGTGTTGAACTGTCCTCCAGGGGTGTTGTTGGTTTATTTCTGTGGATTAACCAGCCCTATTTCCCTGCTTTACCTAACTATTAGTCTGTGGTTAATTGTTATGCTTTTATCTGTATCTTTTAATGACCCTAGTCCATATTATTTGCTGGTTGTATAAGCAAGGAAATCCCACACAAAGATCAGTGTTTGTAGTTCAACCATGCATGTTATCGACCATAATTATTGTTTATATTTTACTTATTTTTTTGTAATAAATATCCAGTGGGTTCTGTTGCTGTTCTGTTTACAGATTCATTTCTGTTCATCAGGACAGTCCTACATAGTTGTCAGAGGTGAAAGGGAGGTGGATGGGAATAGGTGGCAGTTTCCTTTATTTCATCCCTCTCTGCCTCTCTCTTGAAAGGTTTTGTGAAAATTTAAATGTTATTCTTTTGTGAGCAAATGTAGCAATGATAGGATCACAGGTGCTTCAACAGCATGGTTATGTGAGCAAGTATAATGCAGTTACAGAGTCGTGAGTGACTTGCAGGTCGTGAGTGAGTGAGAGAGAGTTAATATCTATAGTCTGATCTTCATGATCAGTCAGTGTCTGTCATTACATTGCATGCAAAATTTTTCCATCAAACTACTGAATTAGACCCATTATATAACTTGCCACTGCTGGTAATTATTACAGGGTGAATAACCTTTCAGGCTGTGACTGGCTTGTTGCGTCGAGCTGATGGAGATCTCGCGGTACAGAGGAAGTTTCCAATAGGTATCTTGCCACTGGGACGAACCAATACTGTTGCTACATCTTTATTTTTTGACTCAGCTAAGGTGAAAATGATGGCTAAGGCTACAATGGGAGTCATTCAGGAAATTACTAAACCCATTGATGTAATCAAAATTGAAGTCCTTGAAGTGAGTATTGCAAGAATTCATATTTTGCCTGTCATCATACAGTTTCTCTTACTGTATATGTATGTGTGTTTATACTGTGTCACTACAGTCTACATTAAATTCTGCTTGCATGCTTTATTCTCCCATTGGACTGATACGTTCTCTCCATTGTCTTGGTAGATTACTAAGGGCAGCACCATTGAAGGTTTTGCCATGACTGTAGCTAGTTCAGGATGTGTCAGCAGAATTTTAAACTCTTTAATTTTTGCTCCATTTGGTCCTGAAGTAGCAATTGTTTGGGACATCTGAATGGAGATTTATTGAACATGCATATATTTTTATATAGTGCCAACTTCTGAATTGAGCAACATTGGAAAATGCATTTAACCACATATTGTTTTTGGTGACCCATACGAAGAGCACTGGTGAGCAACATACAAGCCATGGGTTATGTATGTATGTAATGTACATTTCATGAGTTTATTCTCATAATTTCATCTTGAATATTATTTATATGTTTGCCTAATGTCTCAGTGTATGGTTTTTCTTTTCTTCCGAGTTGCTTGGCACACTTTGCGAAGCAAGTTACTGTAATACTGTGCAATAATGGTTACACCATGTGGAAGAAAATCAATATGATCACTCCCTTTGAATCCCAAAACACACTTTCCATGATTTTGTCTGCTGATGGCTCTGTTCTGAATTTTTTGGGTGGTGGCGATTCCTTGTGATGCCATTTCATGCTGGACCACTTCGGCTCTGGAGTGAAGTAGTGCACACATGTTTTGTCATAGGCTCCAGGAATATTTTCCTTCAGTTCAAACAGTTGCAGATGTGCAGCAGACACAGCAGTATGCTGTACCTTCTGGTCGAACATTAACATCAGTGGGATCCAATGAGTGTACACTTTCTTGAAAACTAGGTGTTCATAGATAATTGTTTCAACACTTCCAACACTTATACCACTGTTTAAATCAATATCTCTTGCTGTAATTCATGTGCTTCCAAAAATCAGCTCCTTGACATGGTGAATGGTCACATGGCATACAGATGCAGTAGGTTTGAGTCTTCATTACAGCCTTCAGAAAGCTTACTGTAACAACTGTAGCCATTTGCATATGACAGGATCTCTTCCCTACTGGTTCATTTAACCTACAAAGAGCTTATGCTGGTTTCAGTTTCTCTTTCACTAGAAATTTGATGAAACAGTGCGTTTCTGCATTAGGAATAACAAGGTCTGACACTGTCTTATACTACCTCTTAATGTGTAGAAGCAGGGCACATGGCCATGTACCAGGCAGTGAATGCTGTATTCCCACCAGCTGTCCCTAAGAGAGTTTTATTTTTCTGATACCTATATCTGCAGGAAAAAATAAGTGAGGTTAACCTTGAATCACCCTGATATATTCAGCTGAGGTTATACAGAGTGACAGATTATAGAATTGGTGACATAAGAGTTAGACTGATTATGCTGAAATATTTTGTCACTTTAGTCAGGTGGTCAGGCCATGACTTCTACTGTGCCCTTCCCAGTTCATGATTGATAACCTTGCCTTTATATGATGCCCTTGATAAAAATTCATTAAATATAGGGTGTCCAGATGAAAGGTATCCAAAATAACAAATGAATATCTCGGAAACTGATTGTTATACACATATCCAGTCTGTGTCATCAGAAATGAAAACTCTGAAAGTTTTCTTCATGCCCAGCTTATGCACATGCATCAGCTGGTGACCTTTGGTGAGGTCAGTAACAATGTCGATACCATAGGAACAGGTTTAATGCACGTTGTGGCTAGCAGAGTTGCAATCTCTTACAGCTGTTCAGCATCATATTAGAACACAATATGGATGTCAGCCTGCTACATGGAAAAGCTTTCCATTCTGGGACAACAAACTGAGGACTGCAGGTGGTCTGTTGCATGTAGAATATCCTGGGAAGACATGGACTTCAGAAGAAAATGTCAGTTGCATTAGTGAGCCATCCCAGTGAAGTCTTGGAAAATCAATTTGTGCTGCTAGCTTGCAGTTACACATTCCATGTTCAATAGTGCACAATGTGCTACACAAAAGGCTCCACCTAAGAGTGTACAGGATTCAGATGATTCCTGCACTAAAACCAAGTGACCAAGTAGCATGCACAAACTTCACTGTGGACATGCTAGCAAGAATTGACGCATCACACAATTTCCTCTGTCAAGTATGCTTCTTGGATGAGGTGACATTCCGTGTCAGTGGCATTGTAAACAGGTACAACTGCAGGATTTGGGGCAGTCAGAATCCACATGTCACATGTGAGTTGGAGAAAGGCAGCCCCAAAGTGAATGTGTGGGCAGGCTTAATGCACAGCAAATTGCTTGGAGTGTTTTTCTTTTCGGAAAAGACCATGACTGGACATTTGTACTTGGACATGCTGGAGCTGTATGTGCTGGCCCAATTACCATCTCAAACTATCCTCCAACAGGATGGGATGCCACCACATTTCTGCCACCATGTTAGGAATCACCTGGACAGAGAAATGGCTGGGAGATGGATCAGCAGAGATGGATCAATCGCTTGGCTTCCTAGGTCACCAGATTTAACCCCATTGGATTCTTTCTTGTGTGGTTATGTGAAGAACATTGTCTACCAGGTTAAGATCAACAACCTTCAACACCTGAAAGTTCGCATAAGGGACACTGTGGCTATGGTAACACCAAACATGCTTCAAGCAATGTAGAACAAGGTTAAATATTGTCTGGATATTTATTGTACCACCAGGAGAGTGCACATTGAAATTTATTGACAAAGTTATATACTTAAAAAAAATCTTTGATAGGTTCCCTTTGTAATGGTGTAACCCATAAATGTGTATAAGAAATGCTTTTTGTGATATACAAGTAATTATTTTATTTTGGATACCTTTCATCTGGGCACCATGTAGTTCAAGAAACAAACAGTAACATGTTGTTCTGTTACCAGACAGAAGATGAACTTCCTGGCAAACCTGTGTACTGTTTGGGGGGCATCCAGTGGGGTGCCTATCGTGATGCCTATGCAAAGAAAGATAAATACTGGTACTGGGGAATGTTGCGTTCATATGTAACTTACATCTTCATGGGGCTGAAGAGTGAGGAAAGTGGTGTATCATGGCAGTGTAAGGGTCATCTCAGCTATATTCTACCATGCAAGGGCTGCTCCAAATGTGTTCAGGCAGTTGAAAATGACAAGTCAGCACATCGCTGGTGGCATGTATTCGTTCAGAGACAAGTCACAGACCCAGGTAACACTGATGTTGTCATTAGCTTAATCCTTTGGCATTTCCACCAGGGTGACAAAGCCTTTTCAATTTTCTGTCTTCCCATAAGTTCTCCTTGTATCCTTGGATTCATTCTTTCCATACTCTGTATTTTATACATTTTGCAGACTTGGTACCCTCATCTTCTCCTTGGTCTCCCTAGAGGTCATTTGACATTTTAATTTTTTCCCAGAGGATCCTAATGTAGTGTACTTATAACACATGACCATACCAGTGTATCTTTAATTTTACCAACTTCTTTTGCTGTGCTTCAGCATGTGCAGCTAGTATCTTCCATTACATTACTGTTGTCATTGTCTTATTTAAATTTTCAATCTGAATACTTTTTTGAAGGAATTTTGCTTAGTCTTTAGTACAGTAGTATGTACATAGTACCAGTGAGCCACTGTTTTACATTTGTCACCTAGCATTCTATGTGAAAAGGTTTCACAAGGACTGGTTCTTTGTGATGGCCCCCCAGATTATGTTTTCTTCCCTTCTAAATGTAGGTGGACACTGGGCCAGCCCTGTATATATAGCAGACAGTGGACATTATCCAGTGGAAACTCCAATGATTTGCTTTTTTTAACATGTTCAGATCCATGGTTGTAAACCTCAGATGTTATTTTTCCTCTATGGTCTTGAATTTCTCATGTTGAAAGATAAACATTACAGGAGAGCTCACTGAAATACTGATGTTACAATGCTCATAAACATACTGCAGCTGTAGTGGTATATATACATTAACTTTACACGCGGTAGCATAGTTGGTTGAGGGGCTATGCTACAAACTGGAAGATTGCGGGTTCAAGTCCCGATGAGGTCATTGGATTTCTTCAATTGACCCAATCCTTCCAGCTGCACTATGGCCCTGGGGTCGACTCAGCCTCTAACAGAAATGAGTACCAGGAATTAATTAAATAATTTTCCTGGGAAGTAAAGCGTGGCCAGTGTGTAAGGCTGACAGCTTTGCTGCCATCTTTGAGCCGATTGTCTAAATAATGTGGGACCCTCAACATCTCACAACCCTATGGGCCTGGTACAGGGATAGTTCTCCTTTAGTTTAGGGGATTCCAGAAGCTATGTGCTTTTTCTTTTTGCCTGAAGATGGAGGTACGGGCAGCCTTCAGAAAGTTGTACATTCTATTTGTATCTGCTGCAGTGTCCAAAGGAAATGTCTAGCAGTAAGTGCTAAGAAAATTGTCTTGCAAGGCAAACTCTACCTCAGTTTTATATTTATTTAAGAATCTAGAGACTTGGTGTTCATTAAATATCTCTTTCTTACAGTTTCAAAGGATTACAGTAAAGTGATCAATGAACACTGTGGATCAAAGTTGGAACAAGATTTTTCAACAGTTGATATGTCTCTGACAACTGCAAATGTTTGTCCTAATTGCATCAGAGATGGAGACCCACATATCCAGGTAGCAATAGGTAGGGAGTTCATCTTACAATCTTACCCTTATTAACACACTGCAGAGATAACATTTTCATGCATGTTAAAATTATTTTCTCCTAATTATTGTTATCTCTGTTATATCGCTGTAGAATGCTATAACATTTTTGGACAATAAAGGAAGAGGTGAACTGTCTATTTTAATATTGTGGCATGTAGACCTGTTGCTAGGTAATGACCATGAAATGAGCAACTACAACAGCCATTCCTAATAGCCCATAAACAGCAACAAATGAATGGTGTTTTCTGCATGGTCTGTGCTGATGGCTGCACATGCAGCAGTAAAATACATCATGCACCACTAAGCAAAGATCATGCTGCAACAGAGGAATGGTGTTTTCTGTGTCGTCCATGCTGATATGTTATAAACAGGAGAGTTACTGAGGAGTTGGTTGGTGAATGACTGAGTTAGTAAGTTAGTGAAGAGTTTGTTGGAGAGTTATGGAGGAGTGAGTGAGTGAGAGGACTGCTTTGGTACACTCATTGTAAGCTGTTGCTTTAGTAGCTGGTAGCTGAGGCTGGGAACAGTTTGGAGATCCAAAGGAAGGGGAACGTCCACTGTTGGAAGCCATTAACAGAAGAGTGGTCGAGACATAGCAGGCCAAAAAGACTTGAGTGTGTGCTCTCATGAACTGTAAAGCATGTGAATTAGTGAAATGATTATAATTACTTGTAGTCACTGATTTGTGAAATTTAAGTAAATCCAATTACCAGTCCAAACTCTGTCTATAGTCACTCCATTCACATGACAGTATTGATCTTTATGAGTGCCTGGAAGTTCTGTTTTCAACTGAAACCTGATACACATGTATAGCAAATGGTCTATGTTTGTAAGATGGCTTTTTACATTACTACAGCGTACTACTGCAATTAAATTCAATTTTGATCAGAATGTGTGTGGATAAAGAGTATGGAAATAGAAGGAAAAGGGGTCTTGCTTTCATTAAATATAAAGATTGATTTCAGCTTTAAGATATATATGTCCTCTGGAGTGACTGTGCTAGGCATGGAAGATAGGTGTCTACCTAAATTTGCATTGTAATGAATGTATAAGGGAGAGTCTGTAAATAGGTCACAAATGGAAGTAAAACAGCTGTAATGGACATAATACGTTTTATATATGTATCACTAGGTAGCAGCACAGTCCAACTTAATGACAGTCTGTGTAACAGACATGCATGTGCATGTTCAGAGGCTGGTTTCAGTAGTCAAAATGGTGACCATGCTTGAGATGTATACCACCAAAGAGCTGAATTCTATTGTACGTTTTTTTGGGCAAAAGGACTCAATGCAAAGGATATTCATAAAGAAATGTTTACTGTGGGAAGTGTTTGTCGTGTAAAGTGAGTGATTCACAACTGGGTGGAGGTCGTGGTAAATGTTTCGCTGATGACAGAGATTGAAGCAGAGATGTAGAAGTGGCCAAGACAACAGTCAAGAGACTTCTAGGCTGTAGGTTTTAGTGCACTGGCAAAGCGGTGGGACAAGTGTATCAATGTTGGTGGAGGATATTTTGAGAAATAAAATGTTTTCCCGGGTTCGAATATCACATGTTTTATATTTTATATCAATTTGTGACCTATTTACTGACTCTGCATCATATTAAATACTGATCACCAGCTTATCCCTCCTGTTGCTCATGGATACATGGAAAAATTTTTAAGAAAACAATTTGCATAATAAATCTTAACTCTACAACTAAACCACGTATGTAGAATATCCGAAGATGAGGAGAAGAATGTCCAAGAGAGATTAATATGAACGCCAGCTTCTTATCACCATTATGAAAAAACAACCTGTTTTTTCACAACATATCCAGCAACAAGTTTATAATGGCCATTCTTTTTATACTAATACATTGTTGTTACTTTCATTGACTCTACTAATATCAGAGCTACTATTACTACCATCACACATATTTGTATAAGCAGTTCCTTGTTAACTGTCATCACATGCACACGTTACTATGCAATCATTCAACTTGACTTGGATCAATTATAGTGTTGGTATTTCTGTTCCTATATGCCCTCTGAACAGAAAATACTGGAACTGCTATGAGTTCATAGTATCTGTGAAAGATCTGATATTTTTTTTTAATGGCTCTTCCAGCCCATTAAAGGCCCAAGCCTCTTATTCAGTTCCGTAATCATTTTTCACAGACTGTAGGACTCCTTGGACGAGTGATCAGACCATCGCAAGGCTACTACCTAAACACAGGACTATACTGTCAGAGAATAAATGCATACACACACCAAACATCCATTTCCTGAGTGGGGTTCGAACCCGTGATCCCAGTGTCCGAGCGAGTGAAGGCTCTGTTATTATTATAACACTAAGGCTGTGCCATAGCTCAAGAAGTTAGTCGCTGCTTCCCACTGCGGCGGCCCGGGTTCATTCCTGCGTCTGGTCAAGTGGGATTTGTGGTGGACAAAGTGGCGCTGGGGTGGGTTTTCTCCAAGTACTTCAGTTTCCCCTGGCAATCTTCATTCCACCAAATTCTCCATCATCATAATCACCCAGGGCAGGTACAATAGGCAAATCAGTGGCCGCTGTGCCAAGTGGACCCAGGTGGGCTCCAGCCCCCACTAAGTGAATTAAAAAATTATAACACTAGGCATCCACTGATAATATTAGTTAAGAAATGTATAAACCTGGTTCCAGAACACAATAATGTGATTTTGTCCTCACCATGTTAATTATATCATTCACTGGTTGGCCTGCAGTTTGATGGTGTTGAAAATTATGTGTTTCTTCTACCAGTACTCTACAAATACTACATTTCTGAGCTCTCTCACATGAAGAATATCTCCAGTTTGTTTGCAGGTATTAATACACATACACTCCTAGATAAATGTCTGGCTATCTACTCTGGCCATCAACTTCTCTTCAGTCTGGGGTTTAAGCCAATGCAATGTGCAAGTGGCCAATTTTGTTGAAATTTTTATGTTAACCTCTCACTGTTACTGGTTGTTTGGTTTGCAACACCAAGTTAAGAATTATCCCTTATGTAGAGGAACAACTGTAATGCTCAGTTGGCTGAAGTGGCTTTTATTTCTTTTAAACTTTCTTTCCAGTAGTTGCTGTTTAATGTACTGAGATATATATCTTTTAACAGCATGCTTATATGTCAGCATTTTTTACAGCTATCAACTAATGACATCTGTGAAGAAGTAATGAATTACTAGCTTGCAACTCTGTTGTGCTCCCAGTAGCTGCTAGAGCCAAAGCAGTGAAAAACTACCTTCCTGCAATGATGTGTTTATTTTTAAAACCCTTTGTAATGAGAGAAAATGACAGTGAACCAAAAGTAGCAATACAGTTTATCCAATTTCACAGTGGTATACTGGGGTATCATACAGATGTTGATGCAGATAGTTTCATTATTGACCCAGTGTTATTTTTACTGTAGTATTTTGGGCACCCAGCTTTTTTAAATTCATACAGTTGCATTCTCTTGTAATTTCACTAATTAAACAATACCATGCACACAATTACACAGTGTATATTTACAGTTAAAATTAATTTGAACAGTAATTAGTTTTAATGGGAAATATATGTTGTGTGACTGCACACACTGTTTAATTTATCCAGCGTTTTTAGTTAACACTATTCATTTCCAGGTCCCCCATCTGTAAGTTTCCCAGGCTTTGTATGGGAAGGATGGAGAAGGAAGTATGGGAAAGCACCAAGAACTGAACAAGTATTGCAGGCTAGAGAACTGGAAATTAGGCCAGTGCTGAAGAACAATTCAGAGGTAAGATTGTTTCAGCAGAGAAGTGTGTATATTACGTTAAGTACTCAACTGTTACTAGCGTAACCCCTGTTGGGAATTCAGCAGGAAGTCTCATCATTTTGTTATATAAGCTTTCATACTACTAACTTCCTCTGGTCTCTCCTTTCAAGTCCTACGTGTAATCAAACGATTCATCAATCCCAACATTTAATGCCATCTCCCACAGATAACATGCAAAAATAGTCAGTTGTAAATCATCATCTTCATCTAGGATACTGCACTTTACATATCCATGTAAAAACATTATCAGTACTTGCAAAATAGACATAATACACTACAAAAGACTGCTCCCTCATTCATGATCCACTGCATAATTTATATGCAGCATTTTAATGTTTGACACAGTTTGTTGCTATGGTAACCTGAAATCGCTTAATGGCAGTGATAAATCTTGGGCTTACAAAACTTGTTTATGCATATTTATACGAGTAAAGAAGGATATGTGTGAACAGTTAAGTTTCAAACTGTTAGCAAACAATGTGCATTCATGACAGTTTGAGTTTAAAGTCTGAAGAAACGTGTGCAGTATTGTCTATAGTGCGTATGATAAGTTGTCTTCACGTGCCATTGTCAAAAATATCAGTTTCTCCCATAGTATGTCAGTAGAGGTGACATCAGTGAGACCAGACTCTTAAGTGAATTGAGGTAATGAAATTTTAAAATGTTTTCAGTGTAGAGTTGTGTTTCAGATGAGTGCACACTTAAAGTCTTCAAAGAAGCAGAAGTTCCTTGTTGTGTAATTTTGTCCGTCCCCCAAATATTTTAATTCTCTGGTGTCAGAATAATTTCCTAAGCACTTTTTTCAAATACAGTTATGTTATTCCCTTGGGGTAAGAGACCAGCATGATAGTCACCTAAAACACCAGCCAAGAGACTGCCCTGTGTGTGTGTATGTGTGTTTTATATCCCAGGTTGATGAGGCCCCAGGTTAAAGAACTAATTTCAGGTTTGTAGCTCTCATACTGGCGTTACGATGGGGTACCCAAAAGAAACCGAACTGAATTTTTTGTGGGCAGAGCTTTTGTAGTACCGCGTTTTGCCGCTTTGAGCGCATAGAGCTAACATTCCTGAGTCGATAAGCTGACTACTGTTGCTTCAGAAGGTAAGGACTAGTTTCGGCAGAGTTTATGGTGACAACTGTTTTGTGTGATCGTCGTTTTTGCAATGGCTGATTTTCGTGAACAGCGTGCGGCGGTGAAATTCTGCTTTTTGCTTTGGAAAAGTGGAACAGAAACTCTTGAAATGTTAAAAACGGCGTACAAGGACGATGCTATGGGGAAAACTCAAGTGTTTGAGTGGTTTTCCCGTTTCAAAAATGGTGAAATGTCAATTGATGACAAACCTCGTTCTGGTCGTCCTTCCACGGCCCGAACACATGAAAATGTTGAAAAAATTCGTGAAATCATCAAGGAAGATCGACGACGGACCATTGAAGAAATTGTGGAGCTGTCGGGAGTGACTTGGAGCTCAGTGGCCAGATTTGTGGCAGTCGGGTGACTGGTTTTTCCATCATGACAATGCCCCTGCTCACACAGCCCTGTCTGTACGACAATTCTTGACCAAAAATGGTATGACCCCTGTTCCTCACCCTCCATACTCACCCGACCTTGCCCCGTGCGACTTTTTTTTTTTTTCCTCGAATGAAAAGAGACATGAAAGGAAAAAACAACGGAGGCGCTGTCAAGCATCTCAAAAGATGAATTTAGACAATGTTTTGAAAAATGGAATAAAAGACTAGACAAGTGTATTAGTGTAAGTGGAGAGTACTTTGAAGGGGATTGAAGGTTTGTGCTTAAAATTTGAATAAATAAGTTAAAAAAAAATAAGTTCGGTTTCTTTTGGGTACCCCCTCACATTATGGAAGTGATTGCAGCTGTTGAAGTAATCATGGTAGGTCACCCAGACAAGCAGTGATGCATTTAGTTGTAGTTGATTGAGATCCTATAGTACAGTGATTAGAAGTTCGGGTATATTCTGTTGAAAGCAATGGAGTGTTGTATTCCAGAATTCAGTACAGCCTGAATCCAACAGTATATGAATAAATACAGACATATGCTAGTGTTATTGGTAAGTCAACAAGTGTATGGGGTACACGGTAGCGTAGTTGGTTGACACAGTATGCTACAAGTCGGAAAGTCGTGGGTTTGAGTACCGATGAGGTCTCCCCCCCCCCAATTTACCTAATCTTTCCAGCCCTGGGGTCAGCTCAGTCTCTAACAGAAATGAGTACCAGGAATCTTTCTGGGGTGTGAAGGACAGCTGGCATGTAAGGCTGACTACTGCCATCTGTGAGCCAAGTGTCTATAGAAAATGTGGGAACCTTGACATCTCACAACCCTGTGGGCCTGCGCACATTACAGTTTCTGAATACCTATTTATCCATTTATAAAATGTCTTTCCCATATTTGACATCATAATCTTTATTATTTTAGCAACTAAATGGAACAGTTGCTTTCTCACTTCTTAATTTCCTGGTGTGGGGTGGGATGAGACTTGGTACATCAGCTGCTGTTTGGCCTATTTTTACTAACCCTATTTTATTATCCCTGGATGATTAATGATGATGAGTGTGTAGCAGTTAGTGGAATAAGAATTGGCAGGGGAAACTGTACTGAGAAAACCTGCCCCAGTACCACTTTGTCTACTACAAATTGCACAGGACCTGACCTGGGATAGAACCTGGACTACAGCAGTGGGAACCCAATGACTAACTACCTGAGCTGTGGCATGGCCCTGCTTTCTCACTTAAAAAACTGACACTTTTTAATTGAGTAGTATGGTTAGGGGAGTTCAAGTAAGGAATGGTGTGCTGGATGCATATCTTGGATGAGAGATGTTAATTACAGTGTTTGCATATTTATTTAAGAACAATTTTTTAATTGTGTGAATTATATAGTATTTTTGGAATTTATTAGTTAATAGAAAGAATGGGAAATGAAGTAGTCATGATCTGGAGTTTCATGGAGGGACTGGGGAAATTCATCAGTAGTTTCAGTCAGTCCCTAATTAACGATTTAAACAGAGGATCTTGAAAATAACGAAATAGAGGTACTAATATTTGGGTGTGATGTTGGGGCTGGGCAGGAGAAACAAGAAACATGTACAATTGAATCCTTGTTTAGTGATCTTCGATATAAGCTTGCTGGCATTTAAATAATTTTGTCATTTATGTTAAAGTTAAATTTCTTTCTTTTAAGATTTTCCTCAGCTTAGTGTTCAAATCGATTGCACTTCAAACAAACCTTACATGGGGATTAAACTGTCCAGATATGCCATGGGAAGCAGGCACTTGCAGTGTAGGATTGGGATGGGAATATAATATTAAAATTACTCTACATAACATAGTTCATAATGATAATAGTTGATAATATAGACTAGACTGACATAACTCAGGATCAAATCTGATGGTAGCAATTGTGTTACCACTGATGAACCCTTTTATATCTAGTAGTATCACAGAATGTTCCATGGTGTGGAATCTACTGAACGTATATTAGTAACATGTTTATTTTTCCAAACAGAATACAGAACACTGGATCTCCATAGACAATGAAGATTATGAAGTGAAACCAATATATGCAACACTACTGCCAAAAAAAGTTCATGTGTTTTACACACCTGCAGAAAGTTCAAGCTGAGTATTTTACAAAGAAAGGTAGGTTGCATACAATTTGGTTACTCTTACAGTTCTCCAGTAAAGGCCCCACTAGACATACGTGGTCCCTTTTTGTACTCCTTTTTTCTGTTTTTCTTCACAGTATTCTGTTGTACACTTTGCTCTCTGTTCTGCTCCTTTTTATGACTTCTGCTGTATGGATTTTGATAATCGGGATCCCGCTCTGTGATATTCAGTTCTTGGCTGACCTGTAAAATGAAGATATTACAAATAATCTTATTGTAGGGATAACCAAAGAAATTAAATGCTTCAGTGAACATTCTTCACTATGGATGGTGGTTCCCCTCCCAGCACAGAAATGAATTCTGCACTCTTGCCTAGGTGAGCAGAGGCTAGAAAGGCCAATAGTCCACATCTGAAAGCTCTAGACAGACAACAAGAGACATGCCCCAACATGACAGAGCATTCTTCAGTGGTCCACACTGATATGTTGGGTTTTTGGACTTTATCCATCGTCCTGGTTTTTAAGATAACAAATAAAAACACGACGTTTCGGAAACTGGATCTGTTTCCATCATCAGGTGAAGAAAAACACCTATTCAGTTGGGTCCGTTAGAAAGAGCTAGCCTCAATCACTGGATTGCAGTGATTGAGGCTAGCTCTTTCTAACGGACCCAACTGAATAGGTGTTTTTCTTCACCTGAGGATGGAAACAGATCCAGTTTCCAAAACGTCGTGTTTTTATTTGTTATCTTAAAAACCAGGACGATGGATAAAGTCCAAAAACCCAACATATCAGTGTGTATACACCATCATCAGAATCCTATAGTACTTACTTAATTCTTCAGTGGTGCACACAGTATAAATAAATATGCATATTGGTACATCAGAAGCAAGCTTGGAGGTCATAAGTGCAGACAGTACAGGTATATCTTCATAATATATGTAGTGNAGGAGACGCGGCCGCGGAATTTAAATGACCACGTCAAAGGGTTAATGTAGCTGTCATCCCTCACACCACTGCAGCAAATCATGTATAAACCGAAGTTGTTTCCAAACAAACTGCAACAGCTCATTACTCTGTACTGTATTCACTGACTCTATATATAAGAAAATAGAAGATGTGGTTATATATACACATACATGTACTGTATATATTATATAGGAGACCACAGTACATGTGAGTGGTAGGATCCACATGTGCCATGCAATTATGTGAGATACAGAAAACTACAAGCTACATGCAGACTGGAACATATCTCAGCTAAAGTTAATATGAGTTATGCTTCACCTTCTCTTGGAAAATATGAATCTTGCAGTTTGGAGTATACTTTTCCCCTTTCATTGGTTAGTTAATGGATTTAAAATCAGCTCAACTGAAATAGCTATTTGTGTCTGATAACAAATCATACAAACGAAAATCAAAGCTTAAAAACTAGACATACACTATCTTAACAGAAATTTTCATTTCGATTTTCATGTACACCAGATATAATAGCTGTACTACTATGACAATTTCCTCAGTTGGCTGGTGATATATCTGTCATGCCATATGTAAAGGATGTCCTACTGTGACTTAATTTCTTTGGTTGGATATTGACATTTCTTCCACACCAGATGAAACAGAGACCACGCTTGATTGGTAGAGGGTCGTTTATGATAAGAGGTGTACCATGTAAAGTTGAGGTCGCCTGTGAAGTAGGACAGGTTTTATGGCCTACCTTTCACTAGGATTACCATATTTTCATGTATCCAAACCAGGACATTATCCCTCAGCATATGCCACTATCACACTGGCATGTTTTCAGGAGAGTAAAAGAATATTAGTGTAAATTTTTATTTGAAGTTACTTTGCAGTACAGAAATGTGTTCTTAATCACTGTTTTCACTGTAAACTACTCTCTCCAGAAATGTTTATTTTTTAATTTTTTCCATAAAATTTGGGACACATTAGTTAAGTATTAACTTTGTAAAACAGTAGCGCTTGAGCAGTACTTTCTAAAATGCAACTGTAGTCCAGAGACATAACTGTTCATAATTGAGAGCAGCAGCTGATGTTCCAGTAACCAAAAGGTAAATTCAATAACTTTCATAAGGAACAACTGAAATATTCTCATCATAAAATTACTTAAAATGTTCAACCAAATTTTGTTCACATGTGGCCCCTCTCTAGTCCCAACGTTTCTATCATTGTCAAACAACTCACTTTGCAAATGTTACTTCAATAAAAAGGCTGTCAATCTCAACTTTGGCCCAAGTAGATTCACTGCGTATCCAGTTTCCAAAAAACTTTTTCCCAGGAGCAGTATGTAAGCTATACATCTTCCATAAAAAACATAAACTTCAACAAAAGTTTTGGAATTAATATCTCCAGTGCCATCTTAATGTCTGTAACAGTAATTTAGTTAAGATCTAAAAGTTTGTGATGATGGTATATTAACATTATTGAGATTATCCATCATCCTGTTTCTTTATTCAAAAAAATGTGAATGGATGTCCAAAAAGTCAGTAATTGTAATAATTTAATTCTCTGTGGAATAAAACAGTTCTCTTTTCTATCTTGCAGGACTGTTTACAGATTTTTGAGTTAATAAACTAAGCTGTCCAAAAAAGAACTGTAAATGTGGCCCTACACGTGGTTCTTAAAAAAATCCTAGTTATTAATGGACAGTTTCTTCAGAATTACAAAAACTTTTTTAAACCTTTAAATGTATGAAGTATGTATAGCAGGACGTGACAGAAATCTAGTATTGCCATGTTACAAAACCCTTTTGTAGTCCCAAGCCTGCAAAATCATAAACTCTTTTAACTGGGTAACATGAACAGTGTATATAAAGAAGTACTTATAAATTTCTACAACCTGGACTTGGGATATCAAACGGTAAAACAGCGACTACATGTGAATGCAGTTCCAGTTATGTTTCATATTTTAAATGGAAAGGCACATCGTTTTTAGCCTTTCTCCTTACATCTCCAAAATTTATATTACAATTATTATCACAAGATTTTGCTTAAGTTCATGTTCTTTGATAACAGAAAGAAAGTGATTAGTTAATGTTTCTGATGTTTCCCTGGGACAAGCTTAAAGTTGAGCATTTTAACTTCTAAACCTGCATATGGTGAGAAACAGCACACTATCACAGGTACAATGTTTATGTCATTTATGTTATAAGAGTCAGTTGTGATACACACAAGTTTGGATTGTTTAATTCTATATGGAGTTTTACATTACACATGGTACACTTCATTTTACAACAGTAGCTTTGCATTTTGTTCTTGCAACACCAGACTTTGATTAAAAAAAATTGATATCAATTTGGAAGTGCAGTCTGATGTTTTAACACTTAAACTGTGATTCAACATGATCATCACTCACTTTTCTTAAAAATGTATAGTCTTTTTTTTTTTCATCCCATCATTAAACTTATATTTTAGTTTTGGAATTTTAAGGAGTACTCACAGTTACTCAGAACTATTATATAAAACTGTTTTCTTGTAGAATAAGTCACAATAAATATCAGTATTCTGCAACTGTCTCTAACAAACTAAATACCTGCTTTCTGGTGTGCACAAGACATCCCCACAACTGTTAAGGCAAGATTCTCCACTTCCAAGTGAAGTCAGGAGGCATTTTCTCCTGCCACTGATGGTTACATTTATCACAGAAACATTCAATTGAGGTCAGATATCACTTGGGCCAAGAGCAGAGTTGCAAGATTTTTATTGCTGATGCAGAAAATATGAGGCAGAGGGCCTAGAATTACAAATTGGGACATACGGTAAGCCTCCGCTTACCATATGTAACAGATAGCTCACACATGCTTTCAGATTCTCTTTCCAGTTAGTTTTCTATGAACTTACCAGGTACATAAGTCTTTCTGTTTGTTTATCCAGCAGATGAGTTTGGTTAGAGAAGCCCAGGCTCCAGTGTAACAGCACTTCCCATTCATGTTTTAAGGTTATGATTTTGTGGGAAATATTTGGAAGTCTCAGCAAGATATCACCAAAGAATGCAGTGTTCTCCAGTATGTTTGCCAGTGCTACAAATGGAAGCATCACATTGTAGTGGACAGTCTTAAGGATGATCATCCATTAAATGAATTGTGGGGAAGGGACCTCCTCCTGTTCAGGACTTTCTATGAGGATAGCCATGCAAACATCAGGTACATCAGTGAGCAAACACATTCACTGCTTCTGAGATAGTCACTCAAATATAACCCGGCTTGTCCATTTGCGTAAGCTACTCCTGCCTTTAGGTCATGACGATCCCCAGCTGTAAGCTTTGGGTTTGCAGGAGCTACAGCTACCACTGCTTTCTTTCCCACAGGACCAGGCCCATTCATTGTCTTTGTTAAGTACAGCTTCTCAACATAATACATTATAATCCAAAGGTGAGGAAGAATGTTCCTTTATATTTATTGATATGTAATCATGAATCTGATATAATTTGTTACCTAAACATGCCAATCAAATTACACACAATAATAAATCAAATAATAAAACATTTCATAACACTTGTGCCAAAATTCATTGTAATAATAATGTTCCTTAAATGTGTTTACCAGTCTTCCTCTAGCCTTTGTATAATCTCATTTCACTTTATTGAATTACCTTCAAATTCCAAAAGGTTATACTTTATGAATTTTATAAAAGGATAATCAGCTCCATCCAGTGTGACTGATAAAATGTTCTTTCTTTCCTTCCTTTCTAATCTTTCATCCTTGATATTGTACCGTGTTTCGGTTACTGAAGACACCGTTCAGATTGTTAATTGGTTTATTCAACAACCTACAAGTAACGGCTACAATTAATTATCACACAGTTGCGGTGTTTCACACTTTATAACCCTAATCGCAATAATCTGTTTACACTGTTGTGGGGTTTCACGATTTATAACCCTATTCGCAAATCAGTTCAGTACGGGAGCTATACAAGTCTCTCTGTCTCACACACTCCCAATTACACAGTTACACACACGTCTGGTTCTTCTTTCCGAGACGGTTGCTAAATTCCAACTCAACTCGCAGGCTGCTGCCTTGAGAACTCTTGATAACACACTGGCTCGACTACTACTGAACTCAGTGGTGGCCACATTACAACTCTTCGCAGGCAGCGCAGCTCTCTTATATAGTGGCTGTGTGTGCCTGTTATGTAGCAACGCTGTTACCTCACGCCGTCTTACATCACCGCGTGTTGCGCGTTACGTTACCGTGCGGAGGGGGGGGGGAGCGCTGACTCATCTGCCACGTCACTGTGGCCTGAGTTGCCACGTTGCTGCTGGGTAGGGAGGGGTTCTCCGTTGCGCAACATGTCACAATATGTTTTATTAGTCACACTAGACAGAGTTGATTAACCTCTTATAATTTTGAAGAAAGCAGTCTTCTGGGATTTTGCACCGTGTATATGTGGTGTTAACCGACGTTTTGGAGGAATGTATTGCCTCCATCTTCAGGAGAGAAGGAAATATATAAGAAATCCGCAAGCGAAGAGACCGTGAGAACCGGTAAAAGCAGTCTGCAGTCTGAAATTACAATAGGGTTTCTTTCTTTCTTTCTTTCTTTGTATTCCTTCAATAAATTGAACAAAAAACATATAAAATCTGTTATATTATGCACCTGTTCACCAAAATTTTGGGATGTTTGCTCCTCCAATTCCCAAAACTGTAAAAATATTTTTCATTACTTACATAGGCCCGGAGGACCACCCCCTTGTTGGTGTCTCCACCTTATCGTGGTGAGGGGGTTTGAGTATGCCAGGGACCCTGAGAGCTATACCAGCGGTAGCATAGCTACTGGCAGGGCCTCCCTTGCTGGACAGGTCAAAGGGTACGCATCAGATGAAGAGAGACACCAAAAACCAAAAACTGATGCCGGAAGCAGCGACTTGAAGCAAAGAGCAAATGATGCTCGAGATGGTTCAAGTTCATATAGCAACAGGCATGACCAGAGTGGTTTGAACAGCTGTTGTATTGCGATGTGGAAAGCAAATGGAAAAACTACCACATTATCACTTTTCCTGGATAGTCTCTTTCAAAAAACAGACACACCACGTATGCAAACCAGAAGACGAGGAAGAAGACGTAAGAAGATGCTGATAAGATCTAAAAGTTTGTGATGATGGTAAATTGTTACAATTAATATGTTGCTGGACATTATCCATCATCTTGTCTGTTCTAAAAAAACTGTCTAGTTTCTATTAAAAAACACAACATTTCGGGAACTGGAATCTGTCCCCGTCTTTAGGTAAAATCTACTCAGTTGGGTCCAATAGACAGAGCTAGCCCCTATCTCTGGACCATGGGATATATACCAGGTCCATACTGGTTATGCAAATAAGATCTAAAAGTTTGTGATGATGGTAAATTGTTACAATTGGTCCGGAGATAGGGGCTAGCTCTGTCTACTGGACCCAACTGAGTAGGTTTTACCTGAAGACGGGGACAGATTCCAGTTCCCGAAACGTTGTGTTTTTTAATAGAAACTAGACGGTTTTTTTAGAACAGACAAGATGATGGATAATGTCCAGCAACATATTAATTGTAAGAAGATGCTGGATGAACTGTTTTGGAAGAGACTGTGGACCTGTCATCTGACAGATTACTGATGAATGGTGTTATCAGTTTTCACAACACCAAATTAAAAAAAACAAACAACATTCCCTATTCTTAGGCAATCATTTTGGCGTATGATATCTGAGAGTCTGTTATTCAACAGAAATCCCATAGATGGAACACATTTTATTCATACCTTTGTAACCTATCAGAAACTACTGAAGAGATAATCTAATTAACAAATGTGAAAGACATATTCAAATGTCTTCAGAACAAATTGGGGGGGGGGGAGGAAAGTTATAACTTGAGTAGCACATCAAATAATTAATTAAAGTTCTGGTTCAACATTGCAAATACCATGAATGACCATTGGGCAAGAACCTGAAACATTTTCATCCACCTCCCATACCCACAGCCTACTAATGATTAAACTTAGTGCTATCCTGCCATCTCCTCCTTGGTCTTACAAGTGACTATTTTCCAGGTTTCCCCATATATGTGTGTATTCCTTGTCTCACTCATCCTGGATGAATGCATAGCTCACTGCCGCCTTTCCAGTTTCACCCTGACAATACTCATGACATGTCAAAATTGCTCGTTATGTATTGTCCTAAACTGCCCAGTTGTCTTTCTTATTAGGACATAATATTTTTATGAGCTCTTCATTTTGAAATAGTTGTAATTTTTGTCCCTCAAAGTGACCACATTTTGCACCCATATAAAACCAAATGGCAAAGCTGTTTTGTATAATCTGGTCCTCACAGTTCTGCAGAGTAGGCCGGATGACAACAATTTTTGAACTGAGAATGATAACAAGCATTTACAGTTCTCCAGATTCTTACATGAGCCTCATTTATATTTGTGTTGTTCCTCATACTTTCTCTTTTCACACATTTATTACACATAAAATGCAGAATCTGCAATAAATGTATATGTTCAATAAATACTGGCTTGTGAATGAGTTATGCCCAGTGGTGTAACTCTTATACTTTTTTTACACTTAGATATAATTTTAATTCTTGGAATGGAGTTTTACTGAGGTCTGTATGGTAGTTTCCTCATACTTGAATTATGAAACATTCTCTGCGTAAAGAGTTGTGTCTTCTGGGATATAAATGACTTGTAGTTCGTTGATAGTCGGCTGATGTTTCAGAGGAACATGTCACCCCCATCTCCAGGGTCAAAGAATATGCAAACAAGAAACCAATGTGAAGCAGGTGGCAAACAGAGCCACCTGCTCTGGCTCTTCCTTCAAGAGTGCTGAAAATGATGCTGAATGGGAAGACTGTGATCAAGATGTACAGGCCAAATAATAGAAGACATACAAAAGAGGGAAGGGAAGTAGAATTTATGGAAGGACAGAGAAGACTGGAGAAGGCTTCATTACATGATGACCTACCCCAATGGAAATGTTAGTGGATTGTGGTTGCTATTTATGCAACATACCATGCAAAGTATTCTCATCCTTAGGAAAACTGCTGCTTCCAGGAATATACCCTGAACTTTCTAATGTAACTCTACTACTTTGGATTACCTGAAATAGCAATATAATATATCATTAGACAAACTTTTTAAAACTCAGTTTCCTTGTTCATTTATGTTAATCTCAGTACAACCTTACACTGAAAACTTTCTCTGCTATTACAGACACCATTTTGTTTTGTTTTTCATAGCTGTCAATTGCAAGAAGTCTTTTGACTGCATCCAGTTGTTCCTTTCTCCTCTTTATAAACAGTCTAACAACTGACAGTCTGTTAAGGAAAAAAAGGTTGGAATAAAATTCAGAGATGAAATATTTATAAAATGTGAAGGGTTGCAGTAAAACAGATAAGATCATTAAGTTATAAAATACTGGAGGTTGGTACAAGCAATACCCTAAACCTTGCAAGATGATGTGCTCAGTCTATGAAACAATATCTGTTCCAGTACTAAAGAACATACATACTGATGACAGTAAAGTTAATACATGGTGTGTTCAGGATCCGTTGGGACTGATTTTTTTATATTTTGCCCTGCAATGCCATCTGTTCGCAAGTTGTGGCATTAAGATTCTTGAAGTTTCAGCTGTGGCTGTTTATACTTTCATAGTGCAAGCATCGCTGCATCATGTGTCCTGACCTTGAATGTAACAGTACTGTTCTGACGCTCGGAAAATGGCAGTTGAACAGAGAGCCAACATCAAATTTTGTTTGAAGTTAGGCAAAACAGCCGGAGCAGCATATGAAATGATGAAAAGTGTGTACGGTAGTGATTGTTTGAGTTGCTTGAACATTTTTCGATGATATGCTGTATTTTGTGATGGCAGGGAGGACACTGAAGACGCTCCACGTGCATCAAAGCCAAGAACAAGTCGCACTGAAGAAAATGTGAAAAAAGTGACCGAAATCCTTGCATCAGACAGATGCGTTTCTGCAAGACCCATCGAGGAGCTTTTGGGAATACCAGAAATACTGTGCATCAAATTTTGACCAAGGATTTGGGCAAACAGAAGGTCTGTGTGTGGTTTGTACCGCACACGCTATCAGGCGATGAAAAACATGCCAGAGTGGAACACTGCGAAGACATGTTATGGTCGGCCCAAAGTGATTCAAAATTTACAAAATCAATAGTTACTGGTGATGAGACATGGTGTTTCCCATATCAGCGGCAGAGTGCAGCATGGTTGAGCCCAAAGAAAGTGCACATGCAAAAGAGTCAAATAAAGACACTGCTAACCATTTTCTTTGATTCCAAAGGAATCATTCACAAGGAATTTCTGCCATAAGGTCAAACAGTGAACTCTGATTATTATCTCGGCGTCCTCAATCGTTTGTGGGCAAGAATTCTTCACGTTCGACCTGAATATCGAGAGCAAGGTTCCTGGTTGCTCCTCCACGATGATGCCCCACCCCACAAATCGAAGATCGTGCATGATTTTTTGGCCAGAAAAGGGATCACAGTCCTTGATCATCCTCCATATTCGCCAGATTTGGCTCCAGCAGATTTCTGGTTGTTCACAAAAGTTAAGTTGGCAATGAAAGGAGACTGTCATGACACCATCCAGGACACCCAAAGGGAATGTACCGCAGTTTTAAATGTGATTCCACAAAAGGAGTACAGTGACTGTTTTTGAAAACTTTTCAATCGATTCCAGCTATGTATTGATTCAGAAGGAGACTATTTTGAATAAAAAGAGTGAAGTTTTGAAAATAATTCACATCTTATATTTTTAATGAACACAGTCCTAACAGACCCTGGACACACTGTGTAGGTAAGGTAAAGGCCCTGTACTTAACTAATTAAGCACTATGCCATGAAGGCATATGGGAGGGGCGAGTGGATAGTAATAAGAATTGTATAATTAACACTGTTAAATAGGGGGTTTGTCATTCATCCCAAACCACAAATAATGTCTGCTTAAAAGTTCATACAAGACCAATCACATAATGTCCGGGGTCTTGAAAGGCAGAAAACAGTACCGGCACATTGTGATATGTTAACTGATTTGAACTGGATTGTAGTCTTGTGGGTTATCACTTTATAGGTGACTACCAGTGTTTCAGAAAATTCTGTCACCATATTCTGGGCAGAAGCCACTCTGAGCATGTGTGCATCATGAACATTCTGAAATGTTAAGTGCTAGGGCTACTAACATAATGGGCCCATCAAAATAAGAAAAGGGGTTGGCAGATGTCCTAAACTTTTTGCTGCTGTTGATTTCTAGAAGCAGATATGAAGTGATACATTTCACATTAATTTGTAGTAATTATGACTTACAGTGTAATCATACCAATGCACCAACCTGTAGTAGTAGAACAACAAAACTGTAAGGAAGTCCAACAGGCCATTGAAAAAAAAAACATAACCAGCCTCTAACCCAAGCTGTGGTGAATTTTGTTGTGTCATTATTAACACTAAAGTACTATCATAACCTAATGAAAAAGGAATTCCCCTTACGGCCTTACAAGTGCCAGTCAAAACCATGTGTGAATTTAGTTGTACCGTATTATATTTCTAACTAAACCACTGATCTGATGAAAACACCTTTCTCCCAAACCAAATGATTTTTAAGTTTCGGGACTTATAACCCTCTAGTATATAAAAATTTCGGGGCGCCCAACTATACCCGAGCCGACCGAAGTTGGTACCACAAAAGGGGTATCATGTAACCAGGAGCACAACAGACCACTGTAGGTCGCGGTGCAAGGGCAGGGCCGAGGAGGCAAACCCCTTACACATTCAATCATGTAACCAGAGCAATGTGTTCTATGTACATTATCGTATTCTAAACGATGGCTAAATTTTGTTTCTTTCTGCGAAGAGTAGAAAATGGACAGTGCTTCGAGGGTGTCGGCTATGAATAACCTTATACACAATTTATTCTACAATGCCAACAACATTCACTTCCTCCGACAATCCACATGACACGCACATGGCACAATCTGAGCTCTGAAACGAATGAAATTAAAGGATACATAATTGCTCCGCTGGGTCATCTTTCAATTTCCCACTGTTTTCTTGGACGTATTCAGTACTTTGCAATGCTAGCACTACAGAGCAACATGTTACAATTGCAGTAGTGTGAAATATTACATTTCGTCTTAGACACATTACAACTACGCCAAGCGTACAAAATAAATAATAGTGTCGACCGGTGTCGACCGTGCCGACATATATCGATACCGTGGATTAGCTTGTACAGTTTGTACGACCGTAATGACCAGGATGACCAGTGTGCGAAAACCATCATATATTTGGCAAAACTGAGAACCCGAGAATCGAGCGGAATCGAGTATTGTGTCAACTATCATGGCTGCTCTTCAAGAAGCGAGGATAGATGTTAGTAATTTCATATATGATATTAATTCTTTGACTCATTTTTAGATGTTGAAAATTGTATGCAACTTCATATATGTTTTTTGTAGTTTTAGAGGAATATTCAATTTTCGTATCAGAAATAAACACTCTCTGTCCGAATTAAAGAAGATACCACCAATAAGACTACTTATTCGATTTTTATATGACGTGACTATTTGTACGAGAGAATACAGTATTGTCAGTGTGAGTGAAGATATCACTAAGACTGGTTATTTTATGGTTTTATATGTCTTTGTTGTATGTTTCGATGTTTTAATGTTTAGATGTACGATGACTTCGGAGGAACCGTAGAAGGGGACATGACAGTACCCAATAGTCGAAAAAGTCGGAACCCAGGCAATGAACCAGAGTTTAATACGTTGGACGAACCAATTCGAGACACAGTGGCAAGTGTTATGTCATTAATTGCATTTATAAACAAAAGCAACAATTCTGTATGAAGGTAAAGTTACTGTGTGATGAAGACGTATGGTTGGTGGAGGTATAGCTCCACCATTTATTTTTATTATCGTTCATGGAACCATTCAGGGTCATAACCATTGGATATAAAAATTGTCAATGGATTACATTGATATATAAAATTGTCTTAACATAAGATAAATAACAATTGAAATATATATAAGAAACTATTGAATGCAAATTAAAATACAAAGCTATAATTACTGGGATATCCCAAGATCAAATTTATTACTGTTATCAAGATACTCTTCAACTGAATAAAAAGAGTTTTCTATAAGAAACTTTCTCAATTTATGTTTAAATTTATTAATGTCATTTCAGACTTGCTTCATATTGAGGGGTAGAGAGTTCAATAATGTACCCCTTTTTGGACTTTAGTTAGACTTATTAAAGGGATATGAACATTCTTAACCTTGGCACTTGATGGAGGTGAGTGGTCAGCTTCACTCACCGGCCGCTTTACCCTCGGGAAGGAGCCCCTGATACCCATTGAATATGAAGTTGTGTATGCCCAAGAGCCAGTCCAGACACTGTGGAGTGGAGAAAAATCTCTTTCCCCTGCCAGAAATTGAACCCTGGCTGTCCAACCTATAGTCAATTGCTGTGTACCGATTCAGGTATCTTGGCCGCCTCAACAGTTCTATATATGATTGTATAAATGTTGGTTTTCCAGTTGCGGGATCTGCGAGCGGTTGGAATAAAGTTTTACCATGTTCTGTATCCCAAGGAAAAGAAAAGCTTATTGAAGGAATGTGAGTACTGTTTGATGTAATGTGCTTAATTAACAGTGAAAAACACAGAAGGAAATATAAAAGATTGATGGTCTGCTTATTTTTTAAGGGGACTTGTGGGGACCACTGGTGCTCTGCACATTCATGGCAATGTAAGTAGGTAAAATTAATGTTCATGATTTATGCTTTTAAGCAAATTTTCAGCGTAGTTTTGTAAAAATGTAAGATGTTGCTCATGTTATTGAGTTGTTAGTATTATAAGAATAACAAAACTGTGTATGTTCTGTTGTAAGTAGAGTAATGAAACATTCTTATTTTTGGTTGGTTCTAGTTTATGTTGCACTACCTTCATGGTTGATTAGAAAAATTTGATTATATGGAATTGAACATTTACATTGTGGTAACCACAGTTTATTTGTTTATATGTGTATTGCTGCCTTAAAATCTGCTCCAGTACATTTGGTTAGTCTTGATTTATCCTAGAGAGTCATGCCAGCATGAATGAAGGTACTATAAAACAGGAAGAAGCTGTAAAGATCAGATGATTGTATGTTTGAAAAAATTCAAAGCCTGACAATATTTGTTCTATACAGGTTGCTTGATTTCTGGGTTTTTCTATCTTTTTGTTAATATATTTCACTAGCATTCGTGGTTATCATGGTAATCAATGCTTGCACATTATTTTACATGCCAGTTTGTGACCCCTGACCATCTTGAGAACTTCATTTGCAGTATTTTTGTTGTTTAACTTGATATATATCATGGTTTGTTATGATTTATACCAGTACAAAGTGAAAAGACAAAAGAGGCATGTTGAATGTAAACCCAAATGACATTTTACATGTTTTTGATTTATGGTAAGCAGACCTTTCTTTCACCATGGCATTGGACATCCTTAGGTTGTGGATAGAAGAAATGGCCTCCAGATATGGAGGGTAGCTGGGAGTGTACACAATAGGCAGTCATAAACAGACTACAATGGGTTGTCCTGCATCTGCAAGGTTGGGCATGGGTGTATGGAGACATTCTTGGCAATGACCTAAGCAGTGGAAGAGGAACATGAGATTTGGCATGTGAAATGTATCGAGTCCATAGGGGAGGTTCAGTGAAAACTCAAATGAAAGAAATAAATAGCCAGTAATTATCTATGAGTATTATGTTGATAGTTGATGAACAGTAAGAATTTTCAGTGCAACAGGATGCAAAATCTGTAAGACTAAAAATGTTCACGGCTTCTTAGGAAACAAATTACAAAATGATTTCTGGAAACATGCCCAGTGAAGTTCAAAAGTTAGGCTAAATATAAGGATGAAAGTTCATATTTTTCAATCACTTTTGGACCAATTTCTTGAAAATCTTGGTAGTTTCACTGATGAACAGTTTCTCCACGACATAAAAAGAAATGGCGTAAAGATACCAGGGAAGGTGGAATGTCAACATGACATTATTACCAGTCATTAAAAAGAGATTCTTCTGGCATAGCACATAAAAAACAAAATACTGTTATTTTGATAGCATATTTATTCGCACATCACTATTCTTCATTGTTGACAATTTACTTATGAGCTGGGGTAGTTCCATCAGAATAGCTATGGGCTATGGGATGGATGGGTGGGGCAAGAGATTTTTCTGTACTTCACAGGATCCAGACTGGTTCTGGTCCCATGTAGCCTCCTATCCAGTGGGTACTGAAGGGCTTTCTGAGGTGGGTAAAGCAGCTAGGGCCTGATGCTGACCACTCACTTCCATCTATTGCCATGGTCAATATTATTGGAGCCATATGTCCACTCTCTCATAACATCTTCCTGATATAGTGCTTAATTACATAAGCAAAGGGACAGCTTTACCTTTTACATTTATATTAGTTCGTTTATCTGAGTGTTCAGTAGATTAAAAGTATCATTGGAACATGATAAATAAATGCAGCCAGACAACAGAAGATGAATTATTCAGTTCCCCTAATTTGTAAAAGATTCTTACAGGATGTCAAAAAAAAGAATGACATTTTTTTTTTAATTCAGCATAGCAAGGATGTGGAAAGTGACTAACTGAAATGAAAACAACCATTATTGTATTCAGACTTGCTGACTAGTGTTATCTGCCAAAAGGCAGATATATCTGGGATTGCTTAGAAAGAGATGAATCTGGAACAGACCACAACTTAATCCTTCCTAGATGATGATGAAAAAAAAATGGTGGCTGTGTGAATTTGGAAGATGGGGAGAAAATTAATGACCTAGCCTGAAATTTTGTATTGTGATAGACTCATAAAATATGTGCAGTAGAATTTTATTGTGGCATTTTTTGTCAGGAAAGCGGAACATAGCTCTGACAAAATATTTTGGTTTGATGACATTGTTTTGACTTGTGAAACTTGTGTTGTGTGACATGTTACACTTCTGCTACTTAGTACAGTTGAACTCCCATTTAGTTCTCAATTTAAGGTTCAGTTCCGAGGATCACAAGTCAATAATCTCAATGTTAAATGAACTCAGTTCCATGTTCAAATTTATTGGTTCCAAGAGAAATCTTTATTGGAGATTTCATTGTACCAGTAGTACTAAAACTTGTTAGGCATCATCTTTCAGAACCTTGAATGTACCATGGTGATTATGATTGCTTTTATTATTTGTTGTAGTTTGCAGTTAAGCATTATAATGGCACTGCCATATTCTTGCAGGATCCTACAAGGCTCTGCAGAAAAAGCTGACAGCTCAAATGATGGAGGACCAGAATTTGCAGAAGTTTTTGTGATTGTGTGGATTGGTTCCATGATAGTAACTCTTAATTCCAAGCTTCTGGGAGGAAACATGTAAGTTGGTTGGTTGGTTTCCAATGGCTGCATTTGGGATCATTTAACCCATTTTGCTTCTTGCTTCCCAATAGAGAGCACTCAAGTTCTTGCTTTGTTGCATCTTGAAGAAGTTGGCACTTTTCTTTTGGGAAGCTTTGCCTGGTTTGTTGCTCATTTTGCACTATCCAGGAGACACGTATGACTTAAAGAATGTCACGGATGTGAGCAACTTTGTCCCTGAGAAACATATAAGTTGAAAGTGCCACATGACACCACGCTGTGGACACTGTTCTTTTACACAAGTACTTTTTTGACTTCATGCTTTGTTTTGTCTGAAATGGATGGCAAAATTGAGCAACATGTCTGCATCAAGCTTTGCATGAAGCTCAGTAAATCCGCTACTGTAACTCATGAAATACTTTGTGAGGCTTTTGGAGAACATTTTTTAAGCCAGATAGTGGTGTTTGAATGGCCTTTAAGTTCCAAGACTAGTTGAGTGTCAGATGAAGACGACGAACGTTCTAGGAGACCATGTACCAGCAAAATGACAGGAAATGTTGAAACAATTTGAGAACTCATCCCTGAAGACCACTGCTGAACAATCTGTGAGCTCACAGACACCGTTGTGATCAGTTATGGAGTTTGCCAGCAGGTCTGGATTTCAGTTCATATAATTATCGTTATTTCCACTGGATTGCTGCCTGTACCACCTAATCCTGAATTTAAAAAAAAAAATATCATTCTCCATAGAATATTGTCACAATTCATTCATAGAATTACTGCAAGTACTAAGTAATGGATGTGATTTGACTTTACCAAACACCATTCTACATGAAGAGTTCTATCTTTTGGTATATAACGCCATGTACCTAGGTGGGCTGAAAAGTAATGCACACATGCTTGTAGAGTGCAAACAAAATGACCTTCAGAAGCGCGCCAGGTGGCATGTGGAAGTAACATTCCCCCTCAATACACATGCGCAGGTTTGAGGTCGTTGTGTTCATCCAGTGTATTTTGAGAAGCGGAAGTATGGAGACGTGTTCTAGTGCTGTGTCAGTGCGAGTTAAACAGCGTGCTGTTATCGAATTTTTAACTGCTGAAAAAGTGACTCCTACTGAGATTCATCATCGTTTAAAGGCTGTTTATGGTGATGATGCTGTTGATAGGTCTACTGTAAGTCAATGGGTAATACAATTTCGTGGTTGCGAGCCTGGAAAAGCCATAATTGTTGATGAAACACGCAGTGGACTTCTGATCACTACCACAGACAATAATCATCGCAAACTCGTCGATGATTTGATTCAAAATGACCGGTGAATCACTCAAAAGCATATCGCAAACCATATTGGAATATCCAAGGAACATGTCGGCTTCATTATTGAACATTTGGGATACCGTAAAATCTGTGCACGATGGGTACCACACGATCTCACAGACGAGAACAAACAGCGTCGATTGGAATGCTGCGAGCAACTTTTGCAGCGCTACGGTGACAAAGGAGACGACTTTCTTTTGAATATTGTGATGGGGGACGAGTCATGGGTCCATCGTTACAACCCGGAAGAGAAAAGACAGAGCGCTGAATATCGACATCCTGTCTTCTCCTCAGGTGAAAAAGTTCAAAACACAACCATCCGCCAAAAAACTTCTTTTGACTGTGTTTTGGAATGCTCACCGAGGTTATGTGACCGATTTTCTGGAACGAGGGGCAACGGTAAATTCTTCTCAGTACATATAGACTCTAAAACGCCTCCGGCGTCGAGTTTGTCATGTTAGAGGCAGCCTGGCGCCAATAATCTTGCAACATGACAACGCTCGTCCACACACCTCGCGCGCAACTGAAGAGGCTCTGCGAAACCTGAAGTTTTGAACTGATACCACACCCTCCTTATTCCCC